CAAATGTACCAGTTCTAAACTACCTCACAACTAGTATGAACCGCATGCCCAACTAGTCAGCTAACTACCTTGCTTTTTCCATATTTGTATTTTTTTGAGTATTAATTAAAAGGAAAAATAAATACATAAATATTTCAAACTTTCGAACATAAATTTAAATTAATTTTTTTATTAAGTGTTATTGAAAGTAAAAGCATTCAGGTACAATTAATACTATACTTTTTATCTTTTTTAATAATATTAAATATGCAGAAGAAATATTTCAGTTAAAAATAAAATAAATACTTTAGTTCATTTTCGAGAAAACTTAAATAAAAATAAAAGTTTTCATTAAATTAAATTAAGTTCACTAACTTTGCACATTTCAGTCCTTTCATTTAAAAATGTTATAAAAGTAATAATTAACGTGTAAATTTGAGATTTGGATAAGAATAAAATAAATACATAAATAATTCACGCAGTTATTAAATATTCTTATTTTTTGTCTATAGTTTGGCTTGCTTATTGATAATTGAAATTAATCGAATAATTATATTAATCTTGTAATTAAAAAAAATCAAAAATAATTGAAAATGATCTAAAATAACAAAATAATCATTTAATTAAAATTAATGAATTAATTAGAATTTTTAATTAATTATTATTCATTAAAATGGTGCTAATATTGGTATTTTATCATTGCATGGTTATCCAAAAAACATCATTATTTAGCATGTCTGGTATGACTGAATATGTACTCGCTTTAATGATTTACAATATACCCAAATAAAAGTTATAATATTTTGTGTACAACTGTCGAAGTCAAATAAAACCGGGCATTAATAAATCGTTTTGTACTTGGTGCAAGTCTGGTTATTTTCGAACTAGTTCCGTTTCAATCAAGAAATTCTAGTTGTAAACTAGTATTTTTCTTGACTAGTTTGGGTTTTCACTGCAGGATATGTACATTTTTATGGATGTGTTGCATGGATGGGGGAAGGCGGCGAATACATGAGCGTTCGAAAGATAGGCGCGTTTCTTTGCAATGGAACCACCACTGCCAACAATTGCTATATGTAAGTGAGCGCGCGCGTGTGTATTTGTGTGGGTTTTTTCTTTGCTCTGCTGCTTTTGCCGCTGGGGCTGGTTCACATTGAAAAGAATTTCACTGACTGACATTTAGTCTAGTGCCGTTTTTGGTTGCAGTTGTGCGACGAACAGTCACCGGAAAAATATTAAAAAATTATCTGAAAGAGAGAGAAAAATTAATAAAAAAAAAGTTTGTTATTGAACATTATATTAAAAATATTTAAAAAGAAGAGTATTCATATAAATCAATTAATGAAAAAAGTTTACCAAACAAACTCTATAAGTCAACGATATTTAACAATAAGAACTTGTATGTAAAAATTGGGTGCCGATAAGTTGTATCGCTAATTAAAAAGGCAGCCGGCTAACAATAACTGATTTCATATAATTTATGTTCGATTAAGTGCAGTCGAACAGAGAGTAAAGAAAATATATGCAAGTTTTTTATTCTTAATACATAATTTTTTTCTGTTGTAAAAATTACAAGCGTGACACATTTTGCATGAGTGTATGTGTGTGCTGGCATTTTGCCCTTTACGGTTTGTGCAACAAAATAGCGACTAATTAAGGCGAAACCCTATGAGCTAATTACAGTGAAATATGTAATTAAATATTAAGTGAAATTCTATGGTCATAACTGCATATGTATGTACATACTTATGTAAGTGTAACGTGTAACACGGTATTGAATAAAGCCTAGAAATAATTAAGGAAATTTACTTAACTGTTAAAAATATACACACATATGTATGTTGATATGTATTTGTAGGAATTTAAAAAATAAAAACACACTCTCATTTCAAGTTCAAAAAGTTTGTTGGAATAACGAAATGTGGACGAAAATTTGCTGAAGAAAACTAAAATGATCATTTGAATGCTAATTGAAAGTTAAGACCAAACAACCAAAATAAAAAAGTAGCATTTATATATTCAATTAAATAAAAATTTTACTAAAAAAAAATTTTGCGAATGGTAAACAAAGCTTGTGAAAAATTAAAAAAAAACAGCAAACATTTCCTTTGGAAGGAAATATGAACGCATAAATACTTATGTACTTATGTAAATGAATATTTTTTTTTTTTGAAAAATTACAATTAACAAATTTTAATTTCGCATTCAGCCGTACATTTATTGGCAGCTGTTGTGCACTGATCGCACGCAAGACCCCATTGCCTTGCAAATTTTCGCATTTTAAAATTGAAAACATTCCGTAATAAAATCAACAAACAATAAAGGAAAACAACAATAATTTTGTTAACACAGAAAAGCTGCAAAAAGTACTGTAAGCAAAACCCTAACAAAAAGTGCGAAAAACAATTAGTTATTGAACTTTGAGTTTGTGACTAAAGCATGTATATATACATATGTATGGATGTACATAAATAAAATTCATATGCCGTCGAGTAATCGATTACATACAGAGTACGCATCACACTCCTCCACCTCCAAAGCCAGCAAATAAGAGGCAATTAATTGCACAGCCTGCTGATTGACCACCCCTCTTTCGCCACTCCATCCAGTGCCAGTGAAGTTCTGCTGCTTTATCTTTGAATATATACATACATATGTAAACAATATTAGATTAGCAACAAGTGCTCACAGAATTGCCAACAAAAAAGGAAAAGCACACAACAGAACACAAAAAGTGGCGGACACGAGAAAAACAAGCAGAAAAGCTAATAGAAGCAGAAGAAGTCAATTTCTCAACAAGTTAACTACAGTCAACTGTAAAAAGCCAATAAATAAAGTGACAACTCAGAAATCAAAAATAATACAAAAGTGCAGTGCAAAAGAAAGATAAATACACATTCCATAGGAAAGGTTGCACCTAAAAATAAACAAAACCGAGAACAAAGATCTGCTGCAAATCAACATAGAACCCAAGTGGCCGTTAAACGCGCAGCAAACCAAATAAACCCAACCAGCAGTCCAACAAGCCACATACATACACACATTTGTATGCATTTACGCCTGCTCTCTGGCCAAACTGCAGTCAAAGTCGAAGGCAAAGTCAACAATTGACGAAGTGACTGATTGACTGATTGACTGACTAACTGCTAGCCACCAGCAGCCGCCAAGTGGAAAAGTATTCATAACCAATTGTTAGCCAACAAACTGCAGGCAGAAGCAATCAATGCTAATAAGAATTTTGTATGCCGTTCTGCTAGGAAAATAAATACATATATGAGTAGTAGAATATAAAGAAAGCAGCAGCTGGCAAATATCGTGAAAAGTTGGCAAACAACAAGAAAAAATAAACCACTTGCATAGACACAGTCAAAGAAAAACATACATACATACATACACAACTCAGTCAACAGTAAATGCTGCACGAATGCAGTTTGCAGTGAGCAACAAGTTGCGACCGTGACAACTGGCAGCTTGCAACAAGTGGCAGGCACAATTTTAGCGGGATTGATGAAGCAACAGGTTGCCAGCCAACAAGTGCCTAGTAGCAGAGTGGCAAGTAACGAGCGACATAAGAGGTATACATACATACGTACGTAAATATAGACCCGTGGAAAAGCAAGGAATGTTGGTGTTGGTGCGTTGTTAGCATTGATGCAACAGTAAATTTTGAGTGAAGAAAAAGACTTGAAAAGCAGTTGTTGTTGAAGCAAGAAAAGTGTTAGTCGAGACAACTGAAACGGCAGCAGCAACAAAGCCATTAGTTTATGCAACCAAACGAGGTGCAATCAGAGCTATAGAAAACGGGTTTTGCAAAAGAGAATTCAAAGAATTTCTGGGTGGTGATTTGAAGAAAAAAAGGAGTGAGTAAGCGCGCACTAAATTGCGACAAAAGTGGTTTCAATTGAATTAAAAAACAAAAACTGAAATGAATAATGCCAAAGCAAAGTTTCAATTTGAAAAAACACAAAAGTTTATATGCATAATTTCAAGCAAAAAATCACTTACCAATTAAGTTTCTCGTTAAAAATAAATAATTAAAAAGTCGTAATATTTGATTAACAAAAAAAAAACGTGAAACATTCTAAACTAGTAATCTTGAAAGTGGCTAATAATAATCTGACAATTCCAGCACAAATGAAACAATTGCTCAATCAAATATTCTAACAACCAAGTACAAACATAATTGCTTTTCCTTGAAAAAAAAATGTATGGTAAATCTTAGATTTAAAGGAAATATTGCGCAACTACACAGTTGAGCTCAAAAAAAGCAAAAAACATCTTAAATGCCAGGGTGGAAAAGTAGGTTAGACTTTTGAACTCGGAACAAAGCCAACGAAAAACTAAAAAAAAAAAAACTAAACACAAAAACGTCAATCACTAAAACCGGCCCCTTCGAACTCGCGCGTACGAAGTTCAAGTTACGAAAAAGCAACAAAAACAAAAAAAAAAATAGCACTTGCAGCAAGACCACGTAGAGACGTGGCTATCAGAAAAGCATAAAAACCAAAAATAAAATACTGACGAAAAGAAAGAAAACCGGCGTCTGCACGATTAAAATCAAACCTAAATACATACATACATATGTACATAAATTGTATGTATAAGAAATAAAGTTATAATCATAATATTCTTAATAAATGACCTCACATATTCACGCTTAACCGCATTCTAGTTACATACATACATACATATGTATACATACGAAGCGATAATTCGAAACCGGTAACTTAAGTGTATGCGAGCAAAGTAAAAAATACATTCAAATCGAACAAGAAATCAAACAAAGAATACATTTTTTATTTTGTTAATGTTTCTACTATTTAAGCAGACCACCAAGTTAAATAAAGGACAAGTGTGCAGTTAAGAAATATATTAAGTGTTAAAAAGGCGGTAAAAAAGAACCAGCACATACTTGACGACCCGATAACGTACTACGACGGTTAAACTCTGCCAAAATCAAAAAAGAGTTCGACGTAAAAGCATCAACTAAAAAGAAAATCAAAGTAAAAACAAAGTAAGAACAACAAAAATGGAAGGATTCTACGATGGTGATTTAAAAGACATTTGGGATTCCGATTTAGATCCGGTAAGTTCGAGCAAAGCTTTTACAATAAAAAAATAATACCAATGTAAAAACTAGACTCGAAAACAACTGAGCACCGGCGCAATCTTTTTATTGATAATACAACTTAAATTTTTTAAATCATTTTTTACGGTTATGTTTGTAGGAAAAAAACTTTTTCGTAAATAAAACAAAGCTGTTGTCCTCCTTTAGTAGTATTTTCCATGGCTATGTTGGATATGTTGAACTTAGTGCCAAAAAAAAAGATTTACTTAGGCGATAACTGTAGTTATATCCTTCCAATAATATTATAAACAGTTCCATTAAATATCTATACCGAATCAACAAAGATATTGTGTACCTACAAGACCTGTTTATGAAAATTACAAATAGGTTTTGTTAAACGGACGTGTTTGAAAGTTCCATACTTCCGGTGAGTGAGTGCCTGGAGGAGAAAGAATAATCAAGGTTCTAACTTGCTATCTCAAATAAAATTAAGGAGGTTTAACTATTTCACCGCCTATCTTTGCCAGATTGGTGAAGTAGCATAACCCCAGGTGTATGTGACGTCTCGACTGCAGTTCTGCGCATACAGTCGACAATTGGCTCCTCCTCATTCTTATCGTGGCATTTGCTATGGTTGGAACATAGTAACATAGTCACAGTGCTTTGCAGATCTATCCAGTTTCAGAATGCCTTCCGTATTTTTCCTATTTAACCACGGCCACAATGTTCTAGAGATGTCACAATCATCTCGTTTAGTGCACCGGCCATTTATAACGACTACACTGTATTGATATTTTTTTTGATATGCCCATCAAACGATGGCTGTATTGAGTTGTCTGCTTCGTTTATTGACATTCATTGAGTTATATATATATGGGCCATCTCATAAGCTGTATCCGTTCATTTTAACATGTTATGTATATAATTACAAATCTGCATAAATGTTTAAATATTTACAGTTTATCTTACTAAGCCAAAATTCTGCTATCGAATTACTTACCGTGTCACCTTTTTATAAAATGAGGTTAAAGATCATACCTGCTATAATAGTTTTAGAAAATGGATTCAAGGCAGCAGCATCTCGGAATGATGAATTTGTATTTTCGTTAGTCAAAACCTGATCGCTTTATCAAAAATCAACAAAGGGATTTTTGGCCAAAAAATTCATTTATTTTGAACTTTGAGACGTCAATCCTCCTGACTAACCACAAAGTCGACCATTTGGTGAGTTTTACTTGTTTACAAAAGCTCGGGTTCGTCTTGTCCACTACTTTAAGCGCTGCTACCATTCAGTAGCGTGGAAATAATAGTTTAAGTATAATCTGAACATCTGTCATTTGGTCGCCATTGTTGTTCTTGCAGGAGTTCGACCTAGTCTTGAAACCTTCCGTAAATCGCCTAATCCTCTGGTAAAATTTTCGTGTGTTTTTCCTGTCGGTCAGCATCTTAAGCTCTTCACACTCACGTATTTCGGCATCTCTCTTCTTATTACGGCAAATACGTCTCGCTTCCTTCTTCAGTTCCCTATAATGGTGCCACATGGCTCGCGTTGCACCCGATCGCAGCGTGGCCCTGTAGGGGGCATCTTTTTCCTCGGCAGCTTTTTGACATTCCTCATCGTACCAGTTGTTCTTTCGGGCTTACTGAAATCGGACAACTTCTTCGGCGGCGGTACTTAATGAGCGGGAAATGTAGTTCCACTGCTCGCGTATGTCGGTTTGTTGAAGAGTGCTCTCAGAGAGAAGGTGTGAGAGTCGAGTGGCGAATAAATTGGCCGTCTGTTGTGATTACAGCTTTTCGACTTTAAGCTTTCCTTGCATTGGTGGGCGCATATATTTTGCTGCACAGAGGCGGGTGCGTATCTTGGCTGCAACAGGATAGTGGTTCGAGTCGATGTTTCGCTCCCGGAGTGTACGTACGTCTAAAACACTAGAAGCGTGCCTTCCGTCTATCACAACATGATCGATTTGGTTTCTCATTTTTCGATTTGGAGACAGCCATGTAGCTTGATGGATATTTTTATGCTGGAACTTAGTACTACATATTACCATGTTTCGGGTCCCGGCTAAGTTGATTAGCTTCAGTCCGTTATCGGACGTTTCGTCGTGGTGGCTGAATTTTCCGACAGTGGCGCCAAAGGCCCCTTCCTTTCCCACCTTGGCATTAAAATCGGCGAGCGCGATCGTGTCGGGGTCAGCGCTCACATGTACCCTCCAAGCGCTCATAGAAGAGATCCTTGGACGCCTCGTCCTTCTCTTCCGTCGGGGCATGGGCGCAGATGAACGAGATGTTAAAGAATCTAGCTTTGATGCTAGACGTTCGTGGGTAGACGTTTGTCCACCGGGATGAACGCCAGAACTCGGCGACGGAGTCTCTCTCCTACCACGAATCTGAATTTGCGCTCCTTTACGTGGCAATTGTATTAGAAGTCACAAGGCTTCACGCTTACCTTTCCTTGCCCCGTCCATCGCATTTGTTTGATGGCGGTGATGTCCGCCTTTGTCTTCCCGAGGACATCAACCAGCTGGGCAGAGGCACCTTCCCCATTAAGGCTCCGGATATTCCAGGTGCATACCTTCAAATCAAAGTCCTTTATACCTTTGCCGCAGTCGTCATCAGAAAAATGAGGTCTCATCCGAGGCTGTTCATTCGTTTTCATTGGACGTCTAACGTGGCGGGACCCAAACCCAGAGCACGCGAAGTTTACGCCTTCTCATCTTAGCTCGCTCCCAAACGGGTGTTTGGTCTTTACCCAGAGGATACGGGGATATAAATATCTGGACGTTGTGAGCTCCGATTTGAACCGTACGCACAAGAATCACTTCTGGCCACTCCCAGGTGAATGACAGTCAAATGTTTTTCTCACTTACGTGCACTTCTGCACACGGAACCATCCTAAAAAAAATGATAGTGTACACCTTGTTCTAATATAATATACGCGATTATTTTCATGAAGAATTTTTTGCATTAATTACTTATGAAAATATAAATCACAGTTTCACACTTAATATAAAGTTTCCAAGAACTCAAAAATTTTCATCAAAATTTTCAACTTTTTTTCAGAATTCCTATAAAATGTTCGAGTATGCAGTTTTATAGCCAATTTTAGTCCAATGAAGTGACAGTTTTATAATATAAAAACTTTAAAATTTATAATTATTTATTCAAACAATTTATAAAAACTTAGATTGTTGAAATATAAAATATCGACGTACTAATGTGTCTCCTTTTTTAGCAATAAATTTCGTTTCGGCTTTTATGATTTCCTCGTAACTTTTCATTCCTATGCCAATGATAAAAACATAAATTTTATAAATATACCCTGCGTAAATATTACATGAAATTTTGCCGCAATTACTTTTAAGTACCTACTTTAAGCATTAAATGCATATGCAACATGCCCGGCAGTAAATTTGTAGCCAAACATATAGAAAATTTAAAGAAAACGAATGCATGCAAATGTAAAGCTTTAAAAATAAAATATGAAACAATGAAACAAATGACTGACTACATCACCAAGCGTTAGCCTGGCGCGGACTCACATGCATGCATTCATTCATTTACTCAATCACTCGCACATACTTGTATGTATGTACATTGGCTAAATGATTGCCTAATTGCAGTTGTTGCGGAATGTTTATTGGCACAACAAATAATGTTTTATATGAACTGGTTGTAATAGCAGCACGCGTATTCCAATGCGGATGCATGCATGTATGTGTGCATATTTAGATCCACACAATTCTATATATGTCTGTAGAATAAGTGGCACTAGCATCCTCTTCATAGCATTTTTGAAGCTATTTTTAACTAGATTACAACATGATTTGCAAAGAAGCAAATTTACACTCTAAAGTGTACGTATTTAGATATGTATGCCTGGGTGTGAAATTGTGCGTGATTGTGGCGAATGACGAGTGCGCGAATATGTGAATGAATTTGATAAGTTCGCCTGTGTATATTATAATTAAGTAAGTGCTTGCTATTTTTCGTTAATATGTATGTATAAGTTAGATCTCGTCATAGAAGAGTAAACATTTATGATTTTATTTTATACATACATACATGTACATATGTATGCATGTATATTTTTTAATGTTTATGTCAATTAAACAAATTAAAAATGTGTCAACATTAAAAATGTGATTGCTTTCGTAAATGAAACATGTACTAAGTCCTTATTCATAAATTTAATTTAAGTGGGACTTTCAATCAAAATTAATAAAAACAAATTCAAAACAGAATCTTGAATATCTAAAAAAAAAACTTAGTGATATGTTTGACTAGTAGCTCTTTTCAATTAAATCCTCCCTATTTAAATCTAAATGAAATTGCTAAGAAAAATCTTTTTTAACATTTTTTATTGTAAGTTGAAATTAAACTATTTTCCCAAACTAATTTTTTTTTTTTTGAAACGGAAAAGTTAAAGTAATAGCTAAGCTTAAACCTAGCGCCGAATATCCAAGATACATTCAGCTCCTGTAATAGATCCTAAAAGTGCCTTGGTAGGCTACTACAGATGTTTAAAATGAGCTAATCTTGTCCGGCCAAAACCGAGAATCACAAAGCATAAGTTCTGAAGTCTCATAGTCTTCAAGGTAGAAACCATACCAATTCGGTGCATTTGAAAACGTATTTGGTTGTGACCAGTAAAATACCCAGATAGTAGCCTGATATCAGTTATTTTTAATATTCTTTTTTTTTTTAACCGGAGAGATAGTAGAAGAGCTTGGTTTTTCTAAGGCTCTTACCGTTTCCCAGTGCCGTACCGTGCCGTAGCTACTCTAATGCGGAACTCGGGGGATGCCAAACTAAATTGCAGCCAAAATTACTTTACCAAAATTTTAAGTAAAAGTACTCGTAATCTAGAATTCATTTCAGCCACCAAATGGTTTTATATGTACATACATATCGATGGTTCTCTGCAATAACGATACAACTCACATTATAACAATTATCAGTAGAGCAAATAAAAATGTTGTTGTTTTTTAATTTAGCAAGAATATGTCTTGCAACGG